ATGTTTTTAACGTTTTAATGTCTTTGGGAGGCTTAGCGTTATTCCATGCTCTGCTGCCTCTCAGGTTTGAGACTAAATTACACAACAGTTATTCCAATTTAGGTCCCACCTCTGATAGGGCAGATAGCCAATCAGATTTCAGGAGTAACCTGTGGATTCCCAAGCCACTCCCTGGACACACCCCCTGCATGTAATGAATGATATCACACCAACAGTGCAAACACGCTCTCTGAAGCATATAAAAGAAAGTAGCTTTTGAATTCTTTATGCAATTTCTTGGTAACATCCAGCATTGCAGATCAGATACTCCAAAGACTTAGACTGAGACTCTGACGCCAACATGTTGTTGTTCCTCTGCTTGTTTGTTCTCACTCTGGGTGCTGTGTCTCCATCAGATGTCCATCCAGTGAAGCTACAGCGCGGCAACTGTCCCATGTTCTGGTGGAGCTTCAACGGCCGCTGCTACAAGTACATCGCAACACGTATGACCTGGATTGATGCAGAACTCCACTGTGTGTCACAGGGAGCCAACTTGGCGGCTATCCACAGTGTGGAAGAACATAAATTTGTCAATTCCCTGATCAAGAACTTTGACCCTGCACAAGGATTTAGCTGGATTGGAATCAACGACATTCAGAAAGAAGGAGGATGGATGTGGTCTGATGGGTCTGCAGTTGACTTTGTCTTTTGGAATGCAGCACAACCAGACAACGATGAAGGAGATGAACACTGTGGACACACAAACTCTGGCCCAAATTTTAAATGGAACGATTATCCGTGTTCTTTGCTGTTTACTTCTGTTTGTGAAACTCGCTTAGTTTGTCCTTAGCAAGACGTTTTTTCTGATTCAACTCATAAACTGCAAGCTAAAGATACAAATCTGCATGTCTATTCAGACAAAAGTAATTTAATCAGGTTTCATTTTCATGTGTCGTTTAATTGTCTAAAATATTTCTTTTTTCCTTAATGACCCATAGAAAATGTTATAGATTTAGCAGAAAAGGTAATTTAACTGTTCAAAATAATGAATAGAAAAAATGCTATTCAGATGTAACTCATGAATAAAAGTATTCTCTGATGACAGTAACTTTGTTGTGTCTTTTAAACTAGTTTGAAATACTTTTGGTAAATGGACCTGTACTTGTATTGCGCCTTTGTAGTCTTCAGATTATTCAAAGCACTTTTACACTGTGTGCCATAGTCACCCTTTCACACACATTCACACAATGATGGCAAACTTCATCAGACATAAACTAACTCATTCATGCACATTCACACAACAATTTGGGGTTCAATATCTTGCTCAAGGATACTTTGACATGCAGTCGGAGGAGCCAGGAATCGAACCAACAACTTTACAATTAGTGGACAACTCACTCTCCCTCTGAACCACAGCCACCCTTTTGGATCTCCACCAATAGATTTTATGTCATATCTTTAATCCCACTAATTAACATTGTGTTGGTACTATGGTTAACTCAGTGGCAACATATGTTGGGCTAACAATGGTTTAAAGGGGGCACCACACTGTGTTGGTGCAAGCAATTACATTTGGCACTCAAAATGGTCAATTATATACTGTAACACAACAATAAGAGTTATTTAGGGCTTTTCTAATGAAAACCTCAGTGCCCAAATAACAACTGACAACATCTTTATGGATCTATGGCGACCTCTGATAAATCACTTACCTGGTTAACTTACTGACTTTGTCTAAAGAGTGACGGACACATTGGATTGAAAGATTTCTGGGCATTTATATGGAATAGATATCAGAAGTAGATTTTCCTGTCCCATAAAATCATTGAGGCATAGTGTATAAACTTTCTTCCTTTCTTTCGTTTGGGCCTATTTTGTTTGATGCTGTGATGATGATAAGCATTATTACGATACCATAAAAAATATAAATGTACAGAAAAACAACTGTTAATGAATTAATAACAGTTATTGCTTGTCTTTTATTTCCTTGCTTTTATTTAAGAGTCGTGGCTCATTTTGATCTAAATACTCCGCGTGCACGTTTATCAGTGGTTTATGATGTTTTTGTTCAAGTAGATAATAATAGTTTTACCTCTGTCACAAAGAAGGGGAGAACACACATGAGTTGTAACCAAAAATATGTTTATTTAACAAAACTAAAAGAAAAATGAAGCTAAAGACAAACAAATTCAACCAAACAAAACAAAAGCTCTTTGAGGGAGAGACCTGCTCAGATGGTCGTCACACCTCATAGTGTAAATGATATGGACCTCAACATTTGTCAGTGACACATGTCCCATTGGGTCCTCTAGCGTAAATGTACTGAAGAGGTCTTGGTTTGTTTAAAAATCAGTCTCTTTTTTTATACCACAGTAAATCTGGCTCCTTGCAGAGATAGGCCTACTTTCTGATATTATGATTACTGGTTTCATGGTGTGTGATGGTGTCCCCATGGGTTGCATTTAACATACAAACATTCATCAAGCTCAAAGTCTTTATCTCACTTGAAGCTTAGAAGACCTTTGATCAAATAGAGTAGCAGTACTTATTTAATAATATGAAAAAGTTTGGTCTTGGGGAGGAATTTATTTACTTGATTAAGCTGATATACTATTAACTCAGGGCCAGTGCACTGGTTAATGGCAGACAATCATTATTCATTAGTTATTGTGGGAGGTCCACTTGTCTTATTTTGTGCTAGGCATCAAATGTCTAGCTGAAGCCATTTGGAGACACAGCAGGAAATCTAAATAAGATCTATTACATATACGACTGAACTGTACTGAACTGTTCACAAATATTAGATAAAGTATCTGAGATTATAATAACATTTATAAATTCTGAGAGTGGATTTTCCCTACAACACTAAACTGTGGCTTATACAGTTGTACTATAATGCTAAATGAAATGGGATATTGGACTAAAAGGTTCCTGGAATTTCTGTGGAACTGATACTTGTATCATATAGTCATTTATGGATCATTTATAAACAGAGTTCAACACCTGTTGATGAATAATGAACATGTATTGCGTGTCTTTTATTTCCCTGTTTTCCTTTAGGATCCTGGCTATTTTTTATACAAACACTTCTTAATGTTCATTGGACTTTTTAAGATGAAAATCTCAAATCTATTTACTACTACTACTACTACTGCTCCAGGTGAGCTTGTGGTCTTTTCCACTTATGTTCAGACACTGTGTAGCTGTGTGAAGGTGAAAGTGATTGCCAAGTGCATTTGACCAACGATATCACATCAACAGTGCAAACACCCTCCCTAAAACATATTACAAAAGAAAAGTGGTCTTTTAGCTGTTTCTTTAAGATTTTTGACATAATCCAACAGTGCAGACCTGCTACTCCAAAAACTCAAACTCTAACACCAACATAATCTTGTTCCTCTTGTTTGTCCCCACTCTGGGTGCTGTGTTTCCATCAATTTTGTACCTCTACTTCTGTACTATTTCTTTTGCACTACATTCCCCTATGCTGCTGTGTCAATTTTGAATTTCTCCTAAGGGGGGATCAATAAAGATCTTATCTTAATTTTCCATCCAGTGAAGCTACAGCGTGGCAGGTGTACAAGTACGTTGCCACACGTTTGACCTGGGCTGATGCAGAACTCTGCTGTGTGTCAGAGAAAGCCAACCTGGTGTCTATTCACAGTCTGGAGGAAGAGAATTTTGTCAAAGAACTTTGACCACGCTAAAGGACGCAGTTGGATCAGACTCAGTGACATTCATAAAGAAGGCAGATGGATGTGGTCTGATGGAGTTGCAGTTAATTTTGTATTTTTTGAAGTCCTAAAGAGCCAAACAACAATAGAGGAAGTGAAAACTATGTTCATAGCAACTTTGAAAAGGATCTGAAATGGAATGACGTCCCATGTTCAGTTACTTATCCTCTGTTTGTGCATCCCGTCCTAAACATATTGATAAAATATAAATAACCTATTAAGGCTCAGCACAGTAATTAAAGGTGTCAAAAGCAATCTTATCCAATGCATTATTTATTTATTTATTTATTTCATGTATAGAAATAAATGTAATAAAAGTGAATTACTTTTAAGAACTGTCCACTTAATAAAAAGAACAGAGAACATCTTTATGGATCTATACCGCCTTCTGAGGAGTCACTTGCCAATTTATCTTGGGACTTGGAAAAGGTGAAGGACACATTGGATTGAAACGTTCCTGGCATTACTGTGGAATAGATATCAGATGTTCATTTGTCTATATCAGTAAGGGTAATCCATAAACTTTCTTTCGGTTTTCTTTCTTTTTTATCGCTATAGCTTGTAGATAAGTGTTGTTATTATCCCATAGAAATATAATTAATAAGAAAAACATTAACTGGAGTTCAACAACTGTTGGTAAGTGGTTAACGGTTATTTTTTGTCTTTTATTTCCATGTTTTAACCTTAGAGTCCTGGTTCATTTTTAGTGAAACACTCCTCAATCACATTTCTTAGTGGAATACAATGTTTTGGTTCCAATAGATAATCGTTTTACATTTTACAGTATATGGACCTTCAGTTACAAATTTCTAAAGCTAAAACTTTTTAGCTTCCTACAGCAAAAATGTTTTTAACGTTTTAACATTTTTTGGAGGTTTAGTGTTATTCCATGCTCTGCTGCCTCTCAGGTTTAAAACTAAATTGCACAAAAGTTATTCCAAATTTAAGTTCCACCTCTGATAGGGCAGATAGCCAATCAGATTTCAGGAGTAACCTGTGGATTCCCAGGCCACTCCCTGGACACACCCCCTGCATGTAATGAATGATATCACACCAACAGTGCAAACACGCTCTCTGAAGCATATAAAAGAAAGTAGCTTTTGAATTCTTTATGCAATTTCTTGATAACGTCCAGCATTGCAGATCAGATACTCTGAAGACTTAGACTGAGACTCTGACGCCAACATGTTGTTGTTCCTCTGCTTGTTTGTTCTCACTCTGGGTGCTGTGTCTCCATCAGATGTCCATCCAGTGAAGCTGCAGCGCGGCAACTGTCCCATGTTCTGGTGGAGCTTCAATGGCCGCTGCTACAAGTACGTCGCCTCACGTTTGACCTGGGCTGATGCAGAACTCTACTGTGTGTCAGAGGGAGCCAACCTGGTGGCTATCCACAGTGTGGAAGAACATAACTTTGTCAATTCCCTGATCAATAACTTTGACCCTGCCCGAGGATTTACCTGGATTGGAATCAGCGACACTCAGAAAGAAGGAGGATGGATGTGGTCTGATGGGTCTGCAGTTGACTTTGTCCTTTGGGATGCAGGACAGCCAGACAACGCTGGAGGACATGAAAACTGTGGACACACAAACTATGGCCCAAAATTTAAATGGAATGATTATCCGTGTTCTAAGCTATTTACTTTTGTTTGTGAAACTCGCTTAGTTTGTCCTTAGCAACTAAGACGTTTTTTTCTGATTAAACTCAAGGTATTTCCAAGACTGCAAGATAAATCTAAAAATGTTCATGTTTATGTATACAGAAATCATTTCACTAACTTTCATTTTTGCATGTTGAACAAATGTCTCAAATTTCTCTTTTTTTCTTACTGACCCATTGAAAATTGTATAGATTTAGAAGAAAACGTATGTTAACTCTAGCGAATAATGAATGGAAAAAATGCTATCTCAGATGTAACTCATAAATAAAGGTATACTTTGATGACAATAATGTTGTTATGTTTTTTAAAGAGGTTCAAAACTCTTTTGGATCTCCACCAAAAGATTTTATGTCATATCTTTGAGTCTGTTGTTAAGATCCAGGCCATGTAAAGAAGGCACATAAATACAATCTGCATGAAAAATTCAGGGGGAATTGTTTCTTTTTTACAAGAAGACAAGAATATGTGTACTATTTAACTGAGTCCATGAAAAACCTGCCACTGTAACACCCCGAATAAGAGTTATTTAGGGCTTTTCCAATGAAAACCTCAGTGCCAAAATAAAAATAACTGACAACATCTTTATGGATCTATGGTGGCCTCTGATAAATCACCTACCTGGTGTACTTAGTGACTTTGTCTAAAGGGTGAAGGACACATTGGATTGAAAAGTTCCTGGCATTTATATGGAAGTAGATTTCCCTGTCACATAAAGTCACTGAGGGATTGTGTATGAACTTTCTTCCTTTCGTTTGTGCCTATTTTGTTTGATGCTGTGATGATGATAAGCATTATTACGATGCCATAAAAATATAATTGTACAGAAAAACAACTGTTAATGAATTAATAAAAGGTTATAATTGTCTTTTATTTCCCTGCTTTCATTTTAAAGTCGTGGTTCATTTTAATCTAAATACTCCTCATGCACGTTTATCAGTGGTTCATGATGTTTTTGTTCCAGTAGATAATAATAGTTTTACCTCTGTCACAAAGAAGTGGAGAACACACATGAGTTGTAACCAAAAATATGTTTATTTAACAAAACTAAAAGAAAAATGAAGCTAAAGACAAACAAATTCAACCAAACCTAACAGAGTGGAAGCCAAGGGAGAGAGAGGGACCAACTGATTTCCTCCAGCCTGTTCCAGTAGATAATCATAGTTTTCTGACACCTGGTTAGCTCACCTGGTAGAGCTGGCACCATGTACTGACGCCTTGCTGCAGCAACCCAGGGTGCGAGTCTGACCTGTGGCCCTTTGCTGCGTGTCATCATCTCTCTCTACCTCCTTTTTCTGTCTATCTTCAGCTTTCACTATTGATTAAAGGCAATAAAAAACCCCAAAAATAATAGTTTTCCCTCGTATTGTAAATTATATGGACCTCAACATTTGTCAGTGACACATGTCCCATTGGGTCCTGTAGCGTAAATGTACTGAAGAGGTCTTGGTTTGTTTAAAAATCAGTCTCTTTTTTTATACCACAGTAAATCTGACTCCATGCAGAGATAGGCCTACTTTCTGATATTATGATTACTGGTTTCATGGTGTGTGATGGTGTCCCCATGGGTTGCATTTAACATACAAACATTCATCAAGCTCAAAGTCTTTATCTCACTTGAAGCTTAGAAGACCTTTGATCAAATAGAGTAGCAGTACTTATTTAATAATATGAAAAAGTTTGGTCTTGGGGAGGAATTTATTAATTTGATTAAGCTGATATACTATTAACTCAGGGCCAGTGCACTGGTTAATGGCAGACAATCATTATTCATTAGTTGTTGTGGGAGGTCCACTTGTCTTATTTTTGTGCTAGGCATCAAATGTCTAGCTGAAGCCATTCGGAGACACAGCAGGAAATCTAAATAAGATCTATTACATATACGACTGAACTGTACTGAACTGTTCACAAATATTAGATAAAGTATCTGAGATTATAATAACATTTATAAATTCTGAGAGTGGATTTTCCCTACAACACTAAACTGTGGCTTATACAGTTGTACTATAATGCTAAATGAAATGGGATATTGGACTAAAAGGATCCTGGCATTTCTGTGGAACTGATACTTGTATCATATAGTCATTTATGGATCATTTATAAACAGAGTTCAACACCTGTTGATGAATAATGAACATGTATTGCGTGTCTTTTATTTCCCTGTTTTCCTTTAGGATCCTGGCTATTTTTTATACAAACACTTCTTAATGTTCATTGGACTTTTTAAGATGAAAATCTCAAATCTATTTACTACTACTACTACTACTGCTCCAGGTGAGCTTGTGGTCTTTTTCCGCTTATGTTCAGACACTGTGTAGCTGTGTGAAGGTGAAAGTGATTGCCAAGTGCATTTGACCAATGATATCACATCAACAGTGCAAACACCCTCCCTAAAACATATTGAAAAAGAGAAGTGGTCTTTTAGCTGTTTCTTTAAGATTTTTGACATAATCCAACAGTGCAGACCTGCTACTCCAAAAACTCAAACTCTAACACCAACATAATCTTGTTCCTCTTGTTTGTCCCCACTCTGGGTGCTGTGTTTCCATCAATTTTGTACCTCTACTTCTGTACTATTTCTTTTGCACTACATTCCCATATGCTGCTGTGTCAATTTTGAATTTCTCCTAAGGGGGGATCAATAAAGATCTTATCTTAATTTTCCATCCAGTGAAGCTACAGCGTGGCAGGTGTACAAGTACGTTGCCACACGTTTGACCTGGGCTGATGCAGAACTCTGCTGTGTGTCAGAGAAAGCCAACCTGGTGTCTATTCACAGTCTGGAGGAAGAGAATTTTGTCAAAGAACTTTGACCACGCTAAAGGACGGAGTTGGATCAGACTCAGTGACATTCATAAAGAAGGCAGATGGATGTGGTCTGATGGAGTTTCAGTTAATTTTGTATTTTTTTGAAGTCCTAAAGAGCCAAACAACAATAGAGGAAGTGAAAACTATGTTCATAGCAACTTTGAAAAGGATCTGAAATGGAATGACGTCCCATGTTCAGTTACTTATCCTCTGTTTGTGCATCCCGTCCTAAACATATTGATAAAATATAAATAACCTATTAAGGCTCAGCACAGTAATTAAAGGCGTCAAAAGCAATCTTATCCAATGCATTATTTATTTATTTATTTATTTCATGTATAGAAATAAATGTAATAAAAGTGAATTACTTTTAAGAACTGTCCACTTAATAAAAAGAACACAATTTCACATTGAGTGCTGCAGCATAGGTGTACTGAAGAGCTCTAGTGAAGACCCACTTTTCCATAATACTGTCTTATGAACCGCTTGGTCCTCGACTCTGCATTAAAACACTCATGTTTAAAGACTTTAGGCCTAATCCCTTGTTCTCGTCAACATTTCCTCATATGAAAATCTGGCCAGTGTTCTTCAGGATATATGGCACCTAAATATAAATAACCTATTAAGGCTCAGCACAGTAATTAAAGGTGTCAAAAGCAATCTTATCCAATGCATTATATATTTATATATTTCATGAATAGAAATAAATGTAATAAAAGTGAATGTTTTACCCTGTCTACTTAATTAAAAGAACCAAGAACATCTTTATGGATCTATGGCACTTTCTGAAGAGTCACTTGCCAATTTATCTGAGGGACTTGGAAAAGGTGAAGGACACATTGGATTGAAATGTTCCTGGCATTACTGTGGAATAGATATCAGATGTTCATTTGTCTATATCAGTAAGGGTAATCCATAAACTTTCTTTCGGTTTTCTTTCTTTTTTATCGCTATAGCTTGTAGATAAGTGTTGTTATTATCCCATAAAAATATTATTAATTAGAAAAAATTAACTGGAGTTCAAAAACTGTTGGTAAGTGGTTAATGGTTATTTTTTGTCTTTTATTTCCTTGTTTTCACTTTAGAGTCCTGGTTCATTTTTAGTCAAGCACTCCTCAATCACATTTCTTAGTGGATTACAATGTTTTGGTTGCAATAGATAATCGTTTTACATTTTACTAAAACTGTTTAGCTTCCTACAGCAAAAATGTTTTTAACGTTTTAACATTTTTTGGAGGTTAAGTGTTATTCCATGCTCTGCTGCCTCTCAGGTTTAAAACTAAATTACACAAAAGTTATTCCAAATTTAAGTTCCACCTCTGATAGGGCAGATAGCCAATCAGATTTCAGGAGTAACCTGTGGATTCCCAGGCCACTCCCTGGACACACCCCTGCATGTAATGAATGATATCACACCAACAGTGCAAACACGCTCTCTGAAGCATATAAAAGAAAGTAGCTTTTGAATTCTTTATGCAATTTCTTGATAACGTCCAGCATTGCAGATCAGATACTCTGAAGACTTAGACTGAGACTCTGACGCCAACATGTTGTTGTTCCTCTGCTTGTTTGTTCTCACTCTGGGTGCTGTGTCTCCATCAGATGTCCATCCAGTGAAGCTGCAGCGCGGCAACTGTCCCATGTTCTGGTGGAGCTTCAACGGCCGCTGCTACAAGTACGTCGCCTCACGTTTGACCTGGGCTGATGCAGAACTCCACTGTGTGTCAGAGGGAGCCAACCTGGTGGCTATCCACAGTGTGGAAGAACATAACTTTGTCAATTCCCTGATCAATAACTTTGACCCTGCCCGAGGATATACGTGGATTGGAATCAGCGACACAGCGAAAGAAGGAGGATGGACGTGGTCTGATGGGTCTGCAGTTGACTTTGTCCTTTGGGATGCAGGACAGCCAGACAACGCTGGAGGACATGAAAACTGTGGACACACAAACTATGGCCCAAAATTTAAATGGAATGATTATCCGTGTTCTAAGCTGTTTACTTTTGTTTGTGAAACTCGCTTAGTTTGTCCTTAGCAACTAAGATGTTTTTTTCTGATTAAACTCAAGGACTTTCCAAGACTGCAAGATAAATCTAAAAATGTTCATGTTTATGTATACAGAAATCATTTCACTAACTTTCATTTTTGCATGTTGAACAAATGTCTCAAATTTTTCTTTTTTCTTACTGACCCATTGAAAATTTTATAGATTTAGCAGAAAACGTATGTTAACTCTAGTGAATAATGAATGGAAAAAATGCTATCTCAGATGTAACTCATAAATAAAGGTATACTTTGATGACAATAATGTTGTTGTGTTTTTTAAAGAGGTTCAAAACTCTTTTGGATCTCCACCAAAAGATTTTATGTCATATCTTTGAGTCTGTTGTTAAGATCCAGGCCATGTAAAGAAGGCACATAAATACAATCTGCATGAAAAATTCAGGGGGAATTTTTTCTTTTTTACAAGAAGACAAGAATATGTGTACTACTTAACTGAGTCCATGAAAAACCTGCCACTGTAACACCCTGAATAAGAGTTATTTAGGGCTTTTCCAATGAAAACCTCAGTGCCAAAATAAAAATAACTGACAACATCTTTATGGATCTATGGTGGCCTCTGATAAATCACCTACCTGGTGAACTTAGTGACTTTGTCTAAAGGGTGAAGGACACATTGGATTGAAAAGTTCCTGGCATTTATATGGAAGTAGATTTCCCTGTCCCATAAAGTCACTGAGGGATTGTGTATGAACTTTCTTCCTTTCGTTTGTGCCTATTTTGTTTGATGCTGTGATGATGATAAGCATTATTACGATGCCATGAAAATATAATTGTACAGAAAAACAACTGTTAATGAATTAATAAAAGGTTATTGCTTGTCTTTTATTACCCTGCTTTCATTTTAAAGTCGTGGTTCACTTTAATCTAAATACTCCTCATGCACGTTTCTCAGTGGTTTATGATGTTTTTGTTCCAGTAGATAATAATAGTTTTACCTCTGTCACAAAGAAGTGGAGAACACACATGAGTTGTAATCAAAAATATGTTTATTCAACAAAACTAAAAGAAAAATGAAGCTAAAGACAAACAAATTCAACCAAACCTAACAGAGTGGAAGCCAAGGGAGAGAGAGGGACCAACTGATTTCCTCCAGCCTGTTCCAGTAGATAATAATAGTTTTCTGACACCTGGTTAGCTCACCTGGTAGAGCTGGCACCATGTACTGACTCCTGGCTGCAGCAACCCAGGGTTCAAGTCTGAACTGTGGCCCTTTGCTGCGTGTCATCATCTCTCTCTACCTCCTTTTTCTGTCTATCTTCAGCTTTCGCTATTGATTAAAGGCAATAAAACCCCCAAAAATAATAGTTTTCCCTCATATTGTAAATTATATGGACCTCAACATTTGTCAGTGACACATGTCCCATTGGGTCCTGTAGCGTAAATGTACTGAAGAGGTCTTGGTTTGTTTAAAAATCAGTCTCTTTTTTTATACCACAGTAAATCTGACTCCACGCAGAGATAGGCCTACTTTCTGATATTATGATTACTGGTTTCATGGTGTGTGATGGTGTCCCCATGGGTTGCATTTAACATACAAACATTCATCAAGCTCAAAGTCTTTATCTCACTTGAAGCTTAGAAGACCTTTGATCAAATAGAGTAGCAGTACTTATTTAATAATATGAAAAAGTTTGGTCTTGGGGAGGAATTTATTAACTTGATTAAGCTGATATACTTTTAACTCAGGGCCAGTGCACTGGTTAATGGCAGACAATCATTATTCATTAGTTATTGTGGGAGGTCCACTTGTTTTATTTTTGTGCTAGGCATCAAATGTCTAGCTGAAGCCATTTGGAGACACAGCAGGAAATCTAAATAAGATCTATTACATATATGACTGAACTGTACTGAACTGTTCACAAATATTAGATAAAATATCTGAGATTATATTAATAACATTTATAAATTCTGAGAGTGGATTTTCCCTACAACACTAAACTGTGGCTTATACAGTTATACTATAATGCTAAATGAAATGGGATATTGGACTAAAAGGTTCCTGGAATTTCTGTGGAACTGATACTTGTATCATATAGTCATTTATGGATCATTTATAAACAGAGTTCAACACCTGTTGATGAATAATGAACATGTATTGCGTGTCTTTTATTTCCCTGTTTTCCTTTAGGATCCTGGCTATTTTTTATACAAACACTTCTTAATGTTCATTGGACTTTTTAAGATGAAAATCTCAAATCTATTTACTACTACTGTTATTGCTCCAGGTGAGCTTGTGGTCTTTTTCCGCTTATGTTCAGACACTGTGTAGCTGTGTGAAGGTGAAAGTGATTTCCAAGTGCATTTGACCAATGATATCACATCAACAGTGCAAACACCCTTCCTAAAACATATTGAAAAAGAGAAGTGGTCTTTTAGCTGTTTCTTTAAGATTTTTGACATAATCCAACAGTGCAGACCTGCTACTCCAAAAACTCAAACTCTAACACCAACATAATCTTGTTCCTCTTGTTTGTTCCAGCTCTGGGTGCTGTGTTTCCATCAATTTTGTACCTCCACTTCTGTACTATTTCTTTTGCACTACATTCCCCTACGCTGCTGTGTCAATTTTGAATTTCTCCTAAGGGGGATCAATAAAGATCTTATCTTAATTTTCCATCCAGTGAAGCTACAGCATGGCAGGTGTACAAGTACATTGCCACAAGTTTGACCTGGGCTGATGCAGAACTCTGCTGTGTGTCAGAGAAAGCCAACCTGGTGTCTATTCACAGTCTGGAGGAAAAGAATTTTGTCAAAGAACTTTGACCACGCTAAAGGACGCAGTTGGATCAGACTCATGTGTGTTATGCTTCCTGCAGGATTTACCGGACAATGGTAAAGCTTTTTCCACCATTAAAGTTTATAACTGTTTTCCTTCACCTACTGCCTTTTACTGAGGAGAAATAAACATTTAGCACAATACAAACAGTTTATTCAGATAACTCAGGCAGAGGCTGCACCGAAGCAATAAACACTGGAGACAGAAACTCCCTCCAGACTGTGACAAGGCTAAACAGATTACAGAGAGAGATATTATTTTATATTTTCTGAAAAAAAAAAACAAACAAAAAAAAAAATAAAGTAACAGCTTTGACAGACATTCATGTCCCATGTTCAGAGGTTCAACAATGTGGAAGTGCATTCTTGAGAAGAAAAGCATGTAAAAATTGTTAATATGTTTTGTGGCCTTTTGAATCTAAACTGGGGAAACTTTTTAGCTTCCTACAGCAAAAATGTTTTTAACATTTTAATGTTTTTGGAGGCTTAGCGTTATTCTCTGCACTGCTGCCTCTCAGGTTTGAGACTAAATAACACAACAGTTATTCCAATTTAGGTCCCACCTCTGATATGGCAGATAGCCAATCAGATTTCAGGAGTAACCTGTGGACTCCGAAGCCACTCCCTGGACACACCCATACATGTAACGAATGATATCACACCAACAGTGCAAACACACTCTCTGAAGCATATAAAAGAAAGTAGCTTTTGAATTCTTTATGCAATTTCTTGATCCAGCAGTGCAGATCAGATACTCTGAAGACTTAGACTGAGACTCTGACGCCAACATGATGTTTTTCCTTTTCTTCTTTGTTCTCGCTCTGGGCTCTGTGTCTCCATCGGATGTCCATCCAGTGAAGCTACAGCGTGGCAACTGTCCCATGTTCTGGTGGAGCTTCAACGGGCGCTGCTACAAGTACGTTGCCACACGTTTGACCTGGGCTGATGCAGAACTCCACTGTGTGTCACAGGGAGCCAACCTGGTGTCTATTCACAGTCTGGAGGAAGAGAATTTCGTCAAAGCTCTGATCAAGAACTTTGACCACACTAAGGGACGCAGTTGGATCGGACTCAGTGACATTCATAAAGAAGGCAGATGGATGTGGTCTGATGGAGGTGCAGTGAAATTTGTTTTTTGGAGTCCTAGAGAGCCAAACAACAATGGAGGAAATGAACACTGTGTTCATACCAACTTTGAAAGGGACCTGAAATGGAATGACGTCCCATGTTCAGTTACTTATTCCTCTGTTTGTGCATCTCGTCCTTAGCAACTGAGACAGCTATAGATTCTACCTGGACACTGTTCACCTGCTGCTCTGTTGACATGCATTAGACCTCCACAATATAGATACAATTCTACACTTTTATGTGTGTGTACAAAATTAATTTCATTAACCTTCATTTTCATGAATGTTGAATTGACTCTAATTTCTTCTTGTTATTTTTTCCTCACTGACTCATATAAACCGGATAGATTTAGAAAAAAAAGTAATTTAACTAGTTAACAATTATATAAAATATAACTTAGAAAACATGCTTTCTCTGATATAAAAAGTTTTTTTAATGATGATAAGTTGATATAAAGGGCACATTGGATTGGATGGGCATTTCTGTGAAATATATATCAGAAGTTGATTTGCCTGTATCATATACTCATTGAGATATAGTGTATTAACTTTCTTATTTTTCTTCTTTGTTATAGCTCAATCCTCTTTCGTTTGATACTGTGATGTTGATAGGCATTGATATGATGCAATAAAAAATAATTGTACAGAAAAACATACACTACTGCTCTCCTTAATGTGCCAGGGTTCAACAAATGTTGATGAATAGTTAACAGTTATTGCTTGTCTTTTATTTCCTTATTATCGTTTTTGAGTACTGGGTAATTGTTATCCAAACCAATCCTGATGCACTATGGACAATGGACTATGACGTTTCCGTTCCAATAGATAATAATAGTTCAATCAGCAGAGACTCATGTTTTATGGGGATAGAGAAGCAGCGAGTAGAGTAGAATTCCCCCTGATGTTGTCTAGACACTCATGGTTCCCTGAATGAAGAATTTACTGCAGGATTTACTGGACAATGGTAAAGATTTATCCACCATTAAACTTCATAACTGTTTTCCTTTCACCCACTTCTTTTGCATTTAGCACAATACAAACTGTTTATTCAGATAACTCAGGCAAAGGCTTCACCGAAGCAACAAACACTGGAGAGAGAAACTCCCTCCAGACTGCGACAAGGCTAAACAGATTACAGACGGTTTGTTATTTTTTTACATTATCTGTAAAGAAAATTTTAAAAAACCCATAAAGGAACAGCCTGTTCTAGGCTACTGTATAAACCATCTCTAGATATAAAAGTCTCATTCTAAGGTAACAAACATAATAATGATTCTTATTTTCAGGTATTTATACACTAATGAAAAAATAGTTATTCATATTATATTCCATTTCTATCAGTAGATTTGGTAACACTTTATAATGAGTACACACTATTAAGCATTAGTTAAGCATGAATAAATACTGAATTCATCATTTATAACGCATGAATACACATTAGTATGTAGTTTATAAACACAGTTAAAAATGTTTTACTCATCATTGATAAGCACATTAGTTATGGATTAGTAAATACTGAAGTCATCATTTATAAAGCATGATTCTGCTGTAAATAGTCATTACTATGTGGTTTATAATCACAGTTATAAATGTTTTACTCTTCATTGTACTGTACATTTCTGCATGCACTTGCACATCCACAATTCAGACATGTATTAATGATTAGTGACTGTGTAAGCAGATGTTCTATAAAACTCACAACAAATTCATTTTCTAATGATGGCCTATAAAAAGTTATTAATGCAGGAATTCACAGTTACAAAGCACTTACTACTCGTTAATTAAGTATTTTGCACAAGCTTATCTAAAGTGAGCACTATCTATGGCTTATTAAGGATTTACAAATGAGATATAAAGGCTGACAATGCCTCGAGACTCACAAAATGTTCAGTTATCTTAACAGACGAAGGAGAGACACAACACAAAGGGATATAGAACATATTGTATTGATATTTACTGCAACTTCCCAACATATTGTATGAAGACGAACAAGGGTGGTTTATGAACACATGCTATTGTTGTGATCTTATCTGTTTGGGACGTGTACGTTGAGCTCCGCTCTCAGCACGTGATGACGTGCTGAGAGCGGGATGTTACGTCATATTTACGTTAACCGACCTGCCGCTGCTAGGCACTCACCTCGCCCGGCTAGACGAGACTAGGCTACGTCGGCTTAGCCACCGCGGGCGGGTCGGTAACGTTAGTAACGTCAGTCGTTAGTGTCAAGTGACAAGCTAACGTTATCTTTCAACCATAATGTGTGCTACCAAACAAAGACACATACTCTCCTCTAGAGCCGCTGACGGCCGCCGACTCCAATGTGCTCCTCCATGCTCCCCTTGGCTGCACTGTCAGAAACTTCTGAGAGTTAACGTAAATATGACGTAACATCCCGCTCTCAGCACGTCATCACGTTGATGACGTCTCTGCACGGGGAGCTCAACGTTCACGTCCCAAACAGATAAGATCACAACAATAGCATGTGTTCATAAACCACCCTTGTTCGTCTTCATACAATATGTTGGGAAGTTGCAGTAAATATCAATACAATATGTTCTATATCCCTTTGTGTTGTGTCTCTCCTTCGTCTGTTAAGATAACTGAACATTTTGTGAGTCTCGAGGCATTGTCAGCCTTTATATCTCATTTGTAAATCCTTAATAAGCCATAGATAGTGCTCACTTTAGATAAGCTCGTGCAAAATACTTAATTAACGAGTAGTAAGTGCTTTGTAACTGTGAATTCCTGCATTAATCACTGTTTATAGGCCATCATTAGAAAATGAATTTGTTGTGAGTTTTATAGAACATCTGCTTACACAGTCACTAATCATTAATACATGTCTGAATAGTGGATGTGCAAGTGCATGCAGAAATGTACAGTACAATGAAGAGTAAAACATTTATAACTGTGATTATAAACCACATAGTAATGACTATTTACAGCAGAATCATGCTTTATAAATGATCAATTCAGTATTTACTAATCCATAACTAATCTGCTTATCAATGATAAATAAAACATTTTTAACTGTGTATATAAACTACATACTAATGTGTATTCATGCGTTATAAATGATGAATTCAGTATTTATTAATGCTTAACTAATGCTTAATAGTGTGTACTCATTATAAAGTGTTACCGTAGATTTTCCTAAATGTTAGACAATGGACCTTTAAGTCTGAATGATGAAGATACAAAAGTGTATGTACAGAAGTAATTTCAGTAACCTTCATTTTAACGTTTGATTCTTACACAGATCATGTCAGGATTGGTTTAAAGAGAATGTTTCTAAAAACCTTTGAACAATGTCAGATTTTTTGTTTTCCTTATTGACTTATAGAACAATATCCAGATTTAGAGGAAAAGTATTTTTCACTGAGAGGAAACCTCCATTTTGCAGGAGCGCTGTGATCACATTTGCACAGTTACACACATTCCTATCCGGAAGCTGTCCAGTGCAACCACAGTCTGATTTGTTGGCCACTGAGCCGCTCCACTGGAGCAGTAGGGGTTGGGGGCCGTGTACAAGGGCACCTCAGTGGTGGTAAAGAGGGAGGGGTAAGTGCTGCTTCTTCCCTTTCCCCACCAGTTCTGTTAAAAGTAATGTGGATGGAAAGGGCCCTATCTCAGATGCAACCCTCCCATGAATAAAAAGGATTGGTTGATGATAATAGGGAAGTTATATTTACACAAGATAAAATAATACTATACTATAAATACTTGGATTTCCACTTATTTCATATCTTCAAGCCCACTTACACTGTCCTTGTTGTGGAAATTTCTCTGCTGCTGGTGAAGAATGAAATAGAGAACTTCTGCCGGCCGACAAGTTTATTTTCTTTGCAAAGAAAAGGTCAATCAACACACGAGCGGTCAAAGATGAAGAAAGACCCCGAACATGGGGATATCTAAACATTTATACCTGAGGACCACCTCTTTCACACCCCCTTGGTCTGCTGTAGGGGTCTGGCCCTCCAGGAAGTGCCTTCCCACCCCCTCTGCCCACTGCAGACATCAGGGCCGACCCCCTGCTGGTGTGTTTACATATGAGGTGTCCTGCAGGATCTTGCATTCAGGTGCAAAGCCAAGTCCAGACATCACAATCTACAAAACACAAAAGGACCTGGCATCTTGTGTTAGGAAGGGGGAGGTTGGGCATCTCCAGTGGCTGAAACAAAGAAACTGAATCTACCATTACATCCTGTGTTAACTTAAAAAGTTAAACTTAAAGACTTGAAACATGAAAATGGCTCTTCGTAGATGTATGTGGATACTTACTATTCATTTCACATTGAACAAAGGTTTTATTTCCCATTCATAGAATAGTTAACAGATCTGTAATGGACATTATATTGAAACCTACCGCTACTGATGATAATAATAATAATAATAATAATAATAATTACAAATAATAGCCTAGCCTAGGGCTATCTATCTATCTATCTATCTATCTATCTATCTATCTATCTATCTATCTATCTATCTATCTATCTATCTATGCAAGGTGGTGTAGTGGGGGTGGCGCCGGGAAGGGGGGGGCCCAACTGCAATGAACCAGCTTTGGGGGGCCCAGCTTCCAAAAGGTTGAGAACCCCTGGTATACGCTAACACTATAGAGACATAACATGAGAATAGTAACACAGAAGTTGTTTAACATGGGGCACGTAAGCATGCATACAAACAGAACGTTGCCAGTAGACTAGTCACTATATATTGACATCATTGACGCACCATGACGAGTGTTTTGAGTTGCTGAGGTTGCTGTGGTTTGCTTATGGGCTCCCTCTCCTTTGCTATTTCCTATGGAGGCAATTTAATATATGCATGCATACCTGAAACACAGTGAGGAAGAATCGTGCATGAAACATCCATTTTAAACAAAATTATTTTAAGTTTTCATATAATTCGACAATATCATGACACAATTGGTCTTGGCAGTTTTAAATGTGTTAATTGTTGGTGCAACAAATATTTATATAGATTCTGCCTTTTTCCTACATTTTTGCAGTGCCAGCAATGGCTACATCCTCAACCCCTGCCCTCCCACAAAGTGATGGTCTGTGGATATTTCTTCGCAACAGAGGTGTTTCTGAGGAGAGTATTCAGAAAATGCAGCAGGATCATGTAAGTCACAGGGAATGTGTTCCTGCAGGGCTATATTCATTTTTAAAATGATTTTCCCAACTATATTTTTTATATTTTATTGAATTTCAAACGATTTTACATGTACCTATAAATTTTAGACCATCACATGTGGTTCCAGAGGTTCAAATATTTTCATTTGTCAAGCATCCCTTCCAACAATGCAGCCTGGATGGAGAGACATCACTGTTACACAAATATACAAATAAATATACAAACTATTTTGATATGATATGTTTTAAAATTATGTTATTTGAGATTTTCAGTGTCAAATGTATGTGAAGTATTCTACACCATCAAAGTAAGATTGATTCTTACATTTTTTGCCAGTATGGTAATGTGCAACAAATGAATCAAATTTGATAACTTAGATGCAATGTTTACATCATGATCATACAGATGATGTACATGGTATAAGAACAGTTAGAGCAACACTGTCAATATATATCATGCTAAACTAATACATTGTAACATTTATAGTGTTGAATTATTTGTGTCATAATATGATATTAAGTATATGGAGTAGAAATGATAATTAATCCCATCTGACTGCATTTAAAAAAAAAGGCATGACTTTAAACAAAAGCAATAGGTGAACAGGATTAGGTACCCTTTCAAGTTACTGTTGATGTATTATAAACTTAGCAGAAGGAATAAATGTCTGATGTTTATATCGGCACACTACATTATTGCCAGCTTCAAAAGTTGTTTTTGTACTGTCTCATACTGTCCATTGTGTTATCATCTGCATTAGGCATTCATAATTGGTTGTCCTGGAATTTAGCACGGAAGTA